CCGCAGCCGCCGCGCGATGGCCGGGCATGGGCTTGGCGGCGAGGGCTGGCGGCGGCGGCGGCAGCAGCGGCGGCGGGAGCGCTCCGGGGCCCCGGCGGCGCGCCCTGCCCGGTGTTAGCCATGGCCAATGGCAGCGGCGGCGGCGGCGGCGGCGGAGGCGGCGGCGGCGGCTCCAGCAGCAGCAGCAGCAACTACTACTCGGGAGGCGGCAGCGGCAACATTAGGATGAGCGGCCCCGTCGGCAGCAGCCTGAACACGGACTCGTCCTCGGCCCCGGCCAGGGCGTCCAGCGCGCTCATCATCCCCATCACCATGGACGTGCCCTGCGACAGCGGGCAGCGCATGTGGTGGGCCTTCCTGGCCTCGTCCATGGTGACCTTCTTCGGGGGACTGTTCATCATCCTGCTGTGGAGGACCCTGAAGTACCTGTGGACCGTCTGCTGCCACTGCGGGGGCAAGGAGAAGGTAACGCGCCCGGTCCGCGCGGCCCCGGCCGGGAGAGCCTCGCGCGCGGCTGGCCCGGCCCCTCCGGGAGCGGCGGAGGAGCGCTTCCCCGGCGAGCGCTGCCTGGCACTCGGCTCGCTTTCCCGCGCGGGGTGGCAAGGCGGGTTCCACGCCGCGGGCGGTGCGCGGCAGCCCTTCCTCCGGGCTGGCGCTCAGCGCCGAGACTTCAGCGCAACCGTGGGGACAGACGCAAGGGTGCAGGTGCCCCTAGGTGTGTTGATGCAGGAGGAACGTCCCCAGCATTTCGGGGACCCCAGTCATGCGGAAATTTATTTCGGAAGAAGTCCTTTTGAATGGCACATGCGGCGCAATTCTAAGCATGCTTGCCTAAGAGCCCCTCCAAGTTCCGTGGAACTTGTTAATTTAGGGCAGCATCCTGTCCCCCAGGTAAACATTCCTTATGTGGCTCCTTTCAGAACCCCTGTTCTCCATTTCTTCCCCTCTTCCCCCTTTTCATCCTTTCCCGCTTCCTCCTCCTGATGTTGTTTTGCATATATTGCAAGAGTTCCAGCATTCGTAAGGAATAGACGAATGTTGAAGGAGGTGCGTTGATCTGTGTCTCTTAACGGGCTTAAATATCCTATGGACAAGACATGTGTGTCTGCAGCCTCAGGTTGACTTGGACTTCTTTGGTTCTGGAATATCGGAGCGGCTGGGCTCGTGTGTTGATGCCCGGAGTCACCCTTAAGGCGAGGATGGTCCTTCAAAAGCAGCGTTCTCTGCGGAAGTCAGATTCCTAGGAGAGCCATGATTCACGTACGGGCACAGATGGGTTGAGGGTCAAAGACTGAGACCTCTTTGGGGAGAATTCTGTGTAGTGAAGAGGAAGGTGGGTAGGAATCATGTTTATCTTGTTGAGTGATTTCTTCAGCCCCTTCCACAGAAACCCTGTCTGAGAAAGAAATGCAGCTCAATAATAATAATAATAATAATAATAATAATAATAATAATAATAATAATAATAAATGCCCTGAATCCATTTGTTCTCAACATTCCCCCTGCTTGGTCTCTTTTGCATGGGACTGTGTTCAACTCTGTCATACAGCGAGTCATTGTTTTTGATACGTCCTGGTTCAAATTTGATTTGATTTATTCATAGGCTGTAACAAAGTCGCAAATAAGAGAGAAACTAATAACTGAAATGCATGAATTTAGCAGCCTATGTTTTTTTAAAAAGCAAATGGTAAGAGAACTAAACTACATATTTTTCAGTTCAACTACAACTGTGCCCAAACATGTTGGAATTAATGAAACTAATTGCATTTTGGTGAGAAAAAGGGGAGGGCAAACTTTGCCATTTGGAACAAGCTGCATAGGTCTTGGTACACGAGGAGTGCTTCCAGACTGAAGGGTTAAAAGGCATTGTGCAGCTTCCTGTCCTTTCTTCCTTTTTTTTTCCTGGTAAGAAAAAAAAAATATGGAAGATGCAGTGGGAAAATGTGGGAGGGGTGCATATTGACGACTGTCATTTGAACCCCCCTAAAATGCTGCAAATGAAGCAACGCAAATGTGCAGTAAAAGCCTTGTCCGGAACCTCCCTGGGAGAAGATATAAACAGAACATAAAATGTTAAAACAATCTTCCTTGTGTGCGCTGTGCAAATTTGCCCGTCTCTCAAGTGCAAAACTGAAAGTGGCCATTAGCAGAAAGAGATCCCTCCTTGTACAGATAGAGAACTGTCTTAATCTGAGTCCACCCCATTTTTCTCAGATATTTAAATAAAATCTTGCTTCCATTAAAGTCAGAATTCACTTGGAGGAGGTTGGAACTGTACTCTTGTTCCTTCTCTGCACACATAAGGAAGTGGTCTTCCATGTGAAGGGGTCCTCTGAAAACCTCCAGTGGGGGTGGGACTGCGGCACAAGCAAACCCTTTTTAGCTTCATAGGATCATACAAGAGTACAGTTGGAAGGGGTCGTGAAGGCCATCGGGTCCACCCCCTGCTGTTGCAGGATGCCGCATTAACCATCCCACTCAGATGGCTGCCCAGTTTCTTTTTGAATGTTTCCAGTGTGGGAGTGCCCACCACCTCTCCAGGCAGCTGGCTCCACTGTCATGTTGCTCTGAACATGAGGAAGCTCTTCCTGATGTCCAGCCTGAAATGGGGTTGTTGCAACTTGAACTAATTATTCCCTGCCCTACACTCTGGAATCAGAGAGAAGAGATCTTGACCTTCCTCTTTGTGACAGCCTTTGAGGTCCTTATAGAGAGATGTCCCCCCTCAGTCTTCTCTTCTCAAGGCTGAACATTTATTTATTTATTTAGAGCATTTGTATGCCATCCCATCGCATAGCCTCGGGACGGCTTACATAAATAAAATAAAACATAATACAGATAAAATGAGAACATGCCCAGTTCTCTCCGTCTCTCCTCATACTTGCCAGAAGTATTCTAGCTGATAAGACTAGAACACACTGACCCCTTTTAGATGGTCATCTAGCCCTGTTAACAGACTTCCACTGAAACCAGAAATAATTCAGACTTCATTGAATATGATTGTAGTCCATATTCTGTTACCAGGTTGAGTAAAGCACCCAGGGAGCTTTGGCTGTGTTGTGGCATAGCAATGACATGAACAACAACAACAACAATCTGGGAGTCTAGCCCTCTGAAGCCATGGTGAGAAGCTACTTCTCCGCAAGCCATGCTGAAACAAGCAGGAATGGGCACCACTTCGAGCGGGCTTGCCTCTTCCACTGGAATCCCCACTTTCTCCAGTGGATCAGAGTTTGATGTTTTCAGGGTCACTTTCATGCTCAGTTCTTCACTGACTGCAGTGGAATTTACTTCTGTATTAATATGTTTAGGGCCTGGGATGTGGACCACGGTCCACCTAAGGCAATTCCCGATCCAAAGAAAGTCAGCCAGTCTTGAATGCCATTGACATGAATGGTCTCCAGCTCATGTCCCGTGTTAATTTCAGTGAGACTGAAAGTAAACTTATTCACTAGGGAGTAAGCCCTGCTGAATTCAGTGGGAAAAATTTCTGAGTAGGTAGGCATAGGAGTGCTTTGGCCCGCTCTTTGGATCTGAGCTGTTGTCTGCCATCCCTTGAATGGCCAAGCCGCTTAAATCCCGTAGACTTTGGTAACATCCCCGTGTGGAGGATTGTGGCTTTGCTGCATGGATGGGGTCCCGGAGCTGACCCTAGAGCAAAGCAGGCCTGACCCACGTCTGAGCAACTCAGAATTTCCGTGCAAGAGGGAGAAAGGGGGGTGCAAATGCAATGCAGTCAGAGTGCCTCTAGCAAGAGCTCTGCTGGATCAGACTGCCTGGTCCGGCATCCTGTTCTCACCGCGGCTGGATAAATGTCTCTGGGAGGTCCCTAAGTTGGCCCCAAGTGCAGGGGTGCCCTCTCTCCCTCCCATGGGCCCCCCCTGAGTGGAATGTCTCTCTAACTGGAAGCGTGACAGCAAGGAGCTAACTGCCGTACAAAACTGCATAAAATCAGTAATCTTACATGTATCCCATGTGTACCCGATCAGGTTTATTGTGCAAAATTGGAAGAACAGGTTCTTTGTTCATGTTTCCTGTTTTCACAGGAGAGGGGAGACCACCTCTGAGAGGAGGGAACCAGACTGCAAGGTTGTCTCTTGAGGGTTTTGTGGTTTTTTTATACCTTTGTGCACTGATCTGTTATGCACTGAACCATCTAGTCTGAAGTGCCTGATCTTGCCTAATCTTGGGAGCTAAGCAGAGTCTAGCCTGACTAGAATCTGGATGGGAGACCTGAGTCCCCCACTGCGCAGTGGGTTGGACCAAGTGGTCTTCTAGGGCCCTTCCAACTGTGTGTTTCCAAGATTTTCCCAGTGAATTGGTGGCTTCCTATTGAGAGCTCCTGGGCTTGTTGACACACATGTGCTCATCACTTTAAGACGTGTGTTGAACCTATCAAGAGGTGCCATTACTTTCGGGAAGCTGTGAAACATCTGTCTGTGAGAGCTCTGCCATCAGCTGGGCAATCCTAGCACTGCTGTTCTGTGTCACAGCACAGGATGGGTCTGGTCTGAGAACCTTCAACCCTTCTTGACCCACAAAAATCTGAAATGGGCTGGCTCAAGCAAGGTTGAAATCGGCATGTTGATGGGAGCAGAATGTGGCCCCTTGCTTGCATATCAATTTCGATGGAAGTGATAACTCAAGGGCTTTATGGTTTTAGCACATTCTGTCTTTTGATCTGCCCACTTTTTGTTCAACAAGTAGATCAGCCTTCAGGTGGGCTCCATTTGGACCAACTCCCATCGAGCTAGCCAGCCAGCGGTAGCCTGGTGAAGGATTCTGGAGAACTCAAACCCTTGTTCACCATTTTGTGATATTTCAGTTGATCCTACTAGAAATATTGCCCTATTGTGGATTTTGGATTCTTGGTTTGGCTGCCACAGAAGGCACCAGTCATATCTTCCAGCAGAAACACAGAATCTCAGCACAATTACTCCAAAATATATAGTCTGTCACTTGCAGCTGTTGCTTTCCTTCTGATTTTACATATAGCTGGTCAGAAGATAGACAAATATGCTAAAAATGCTGTTGCATTGGGCAAGTTAGGAAACTGAGTACCATGGAGATTTTTTTCCTCCTGTGCAGGAATGTTTTTTTGGCTAAAAAAGTGTTAATGCTCTATATTTGCTAACGTGGCATCTGACAGGCAATTTGGACCCTCCGAAATAGACGAGCAGCTGGGGTTTCTCCCTTCCCCTTTTCACATTTTTTGGATTACAAATGGAAGAAGAGATGTGCTTCAGCTATTCCTGGCACACAGATACACATAAAACACACAAACCTTTTAAATATATATGGTTGCTAGGTTGCTGTTGTGAATTGACATTCAGCTATCAGCTTCCCTGAAGATACAGCATAACCTGGCTGTACAATGCAGATCTGTTTCAATTTGTAAGTGATTTAGGGGAGGGGTGTGTGGGAAAAAGTGATGGTAGAAATAACCCTGCAGTGGAACATTATTC